TTGATATTTTATATACAAATATTTTATTTCGATTCAGTTGTATACAAATTTAAATTTCATACAGATATACAAGCACATAAAATTTAATTGAGAGGCTACCAACAATTTATACAAACGAGAGGTTGACAACAATTTATACAAATGACCTGCCAACGAAATTATACAAATCTAAAATGGAGCCAACGAATTATACAAATGCTTCTTTTGTATATATGTATGACGAAATAGCCTAATTTCTCTTGTATATGTGTATAGTGAAATAGCCATAACATGTTTGCTATGCAACACAATTATACAAACCATATATGATATATAAATATAATTTTTGTATTTGTGTACGTGAAAGCTGCTTAACTTTTTTTGGTCCCCGACTTCCTGTTGCATATAAGGCAAAAAGATACATATTTCATCATTTCCAATAAATATATATAACAGTTTTTGGCTTGATATAAATTTAAATAAAAATAATTTTTTTTCCTAATTTATAATCTAAATAAACTTTAAATATTTATATACCTAAAATTATTTCATTCTTTTCCTAATTGAACTTGTCAATTAAAGGAAAGTTTATCACAAAAATTAACTATATAGTGGAAGCAATATTTTTGGTAAAATAATAAATTTTACTAGTAGATTACTATTTTAGAGTATTTTATTTATAGTGGGGGCTGGTCAAGATTCAGTTACCATGTAGTTGGGAGAGAGATCCTGTCATAAGACCACTACAATCCTCTTGTTTTTCTCTTTCTCTCTGTGTTTTTTGAGAGATTCAAGAAAATCTTGGTGACCCAATTCAAGAATCTTCAAGAAATTGTAATGGGTACTTACCATTTCTTCTCCTCCTTTTCTGTGGGGGTTTTGGGGGTGGGTAAAAGTTGTTATCTTGAGTTTGTTTTTGTTAATTTCAATACATGAATGTTTTTATGTTGATGGGTCAATCTTGAGTTTTCTTGTATTTTTTTTCTTAGCTTTGTGTGATTTGGTAGATTTGTTTAGTTGTCTGATTTTGTTTGGTGTCTCCAACTACTGATTTTGTTTGGTGTTTTTTTGAGCTGTTTCCACACATACATAACACAATTAGGAGTTTTGAATTTTTAAATTTTCTTTTCTTTCGTTTCGTTCTCACTGAGCTGTTAATCAATTTTGTTAATGACTCATCGTGATATACAAAAAAGCTATCGAAACCCCCACTTAGCTCCGCCTTTGTTATAAACATATAGCCCCACCAACACACACCCAAATATAGGTAGAGTGTACAACTACCTTTTAGCCTTCTTAATTAGCCCTTCTTTGGTATTATTTGGTTATATTTACTCTTTTTCTAGTCAAATTTAATTTTGCCCCTTTCCTTAAAAATACTTGCTTTACATTCTTGGTTGGTAATGCTGATTCTCTCTGTTTGTGTTTTTATCTTTTTGTTTCTAAAGCTACAGTTAGCTATTCTCAGAACATCATGGATGATGAATATGAAAAATTTATCAGAAGAATGAATCCACCAAGGTATTATTTCTTCAATTTGTTGGTTTTTTTAACTTTTAATGATCACTAAGGCTTTGCATTTACATTATGTTTTCGTTGTCTTTATGTTAGAGTGGTGATTGACAATGATTCTTGCAAAAATGCTACTGTAATACAGGTTTGTGTGAGTTTAGGTTATTTGTTGTTTTATTGCTAGTGAAAAAGGGGGATCTTTTATAATTTTGTTTAACTTTCTAGGTGGATAGTGCTAACAAACATGGAATACTTTTAGAGGTGGTACAAATTTTAACTGATCTTAATCTTGTTATCACTAAGGCTTATATTTCATCTGATGGTGGATGGTTCATGGATGGTAATCATCTTTGTCTTTACTTTTCATTTCATCCTTTGTCGCTCAGATTCTTGAAAATTGAAAAAAATGTGTTGACGGGTGTGTGTAGATTCTCCAAAAGTAGTGCATTTTTGGAGAGTTTGAGTAACATGTAACATTTGTTGTTTTCACTTTGAAAAAGGAATTTACGACTCTTGTGTTGCTCAGACTCTTCAAAAATGTGTTGACGGGAGCGCGTTAGATTCTCTAAAAGTAGTGCATTTTTGGAGAGTCTGAGCAACATCTAGAATTTGTTCCTTTCACTTTGGAAATGGAATTTACCTCATTTTTTAAGGGGTGATTTGTAAGTTGATACACTTGTTGCAGTTTTCAATGTGACTACTCAAGACGGGAACAAGATTACAGACGAAGCGATGTTGGATTATATCATGAAGGTGAGCTGTATCCTGTGTGCCAAAGTTTGGCACTTGTGCTTTTGCATTGGTGTGGAAAAGCAACTTAATTTGTTTTTTTGTGGTTGTCATTTTCAGTCTCTTGGTCCGGATTCTAGTTTCGCGTCATCAATGAGACGATCAGTTGGACTTACTACAGGAATGGACTACACTTCAATTGAGTTGATCGGAAGTGATAGACCGGGGCTATTGTCTGAGATGAGGGCTGTCCTCACGAATCTCAAATGCAATGTGGTTAATGCTGAGGTGTGGACTCATAACACCCGAGCAGCAGCTATAATGCAAGTTACAGATGAGGAAACGGGAGGTACAATTAATGATCCGGAAAGGTTGTCTATGATGAAGCAACTTTTGTGTAATGTACTTAGATGTAGCAATAAATTAAGGGATGCTAAGACAATAGTATCTGACGGGGTCTCTCATACCGAGAGAAGGCTTCACCAGCTAATGTTTGCAGACCGAGATTATGAACGTGCTGCTGGTGAAGTATCGGATGAAAAAGGAAGGCCTAATGTGAGTGTTGTTAATTGGCAAGATAGGGACTATTCCGTTGTGACAATCCGGTGCAAGGATAGACCAAAGCTTCTATTTGATACAATTTGTACGCTGACCGATATGCAGTATGTGGTTTTCCATGGTAATGTTGATGCTGAAGGACCAATAGCCCACCAGGTACTAGAATTTCCTATTCGTTCCGCACGTTCTAGCATTGTTTTTTTTTACGGAAAATATGTGAACTAAAACTATAAACTCTGTTCTCATTGAAGGAGTACTGCATACGACATATAGATGGTTCCCCGGTGAAATCAGACGCAGAGCGCCAACGAGTGATTCAATGTCTTGAAGCAGCTATAGAAAGAAGGGTATCTGAGGTTAGCATTACTGATTTACTTCCTAAAGTCTTTTTATATCCATTATTCAACATTTATTCAGCTCTAGCTAGCTTTTTCGTGTGTAAGAACACGAATCTGGTTTCGTAATTGGTGCTTGAATTCACTGGTGTCAATTTATATCGTTTACCTTGTCTTTGTTGATCAAATTCTGTTTCCGGATCCTTATAGAACGTCCACAGACCTTACCCTTCCATAGAAGTTGTTTTAGATAGACTATCGACTCAAGGAAAAATAATCTAAAGCAACATAGCAAAGCAAATACTATGATAATCGAAGTACAAGAAACAATATCGAAGGACAAGAAACTATAGGAGAAAAGACAAACGTTGAAGTATATTTTATTTATCAGAGTAAATGTGTCTCTCTTAGCTTGTCTAGTGCATGCTTCTGGCAATCTATTTGTCTATTAGTTGTCTGATGATGTCTTACAATTTTAATGTATTGCTTCAGTGATGTCAGATAGATTTGGAAATATCCTCTTGGAAGAAAATATTGGAGTCTTATAATGTCATTTTCTTGTCTTGTAGACTTTGGATTACGTTGTAATCGAACATTGTTTTTCGTTCTTTTCTCGTTTCTTTCCAGGGATTGAAACTAGAACTATGTACCACGGACAGAGTAGGACTACTCTCCAATGTTACTAGGATCTTCCGCGAGAATAGCCTCACAGTCACCAGAGCAGAAGTAACAACTAGAGCTGGCAAAGCTGTTAATATATTCTATGTTCGTGATTCGTCAGGGTATCCTGTTGATGCTAAGATCATAGAATCTGTTCGTCAGACAATCGGACAGACGATACTTAGAGTGAAAGGCAACATTGGAGAGTTAAATCCAGTTCCACAAGAATCTCCAACCAGGTTCCTTTTTGGTGGTTTATTCAAGTCTAGATCCTTTTGTAATTTCGGGTTGGTTAGGTCGTATTCTTGAAAAACACACGATCTATTCCTCGTCGCGTGTACATCTGATCCCCTCTGCATCATCAAACCTACATTGGTTCTTGCTAGGTTTTAAAGGCATGTCATTTGTCTGTAAATATGCTTTCGTAGTCGTTTTGCTATGGTCATTGGTTGTGGTTCAATACCATGTTGACCCAATGGATAAGCTATGTTTAAAGTCAGTTTGATCAGCTTATAAGCTTTAGTTAAGTGCTCTTATGGTCTTTTGTTTTTAATATATTTTCGTGATCATTTAGCTTTGTCTATTTGATTATGGTTCAACACCTCGATAGTTCACTAATATGTTGACACGTGTTTATAAGCCAATTTGACCCGTTTAATCAAATGCCCTTTTTACTCTCTTATATCTCTTTAATGTCTACTATAGTTTTTGTGTTGCTTGTTTAAATCTTTGTATCCACTTTTTCTATTGAATCTAATAAACATGAAATGTTAAATATCTAATTGGAGACTAAACATACTTTAAAAACAAATTATCTTAAGCTTATCTTCAAACATGTGTTATGATTTTTGTCATTTTCTTGATTAAACATTATAGTTAAAAAAATGTTATAAAAGACAATGTCATTAATCACATTAATTTTTTTTTCCTTAATAAGTGGAGTCATCCACCTTTGACTAGTAGATAAAATATTTTCTTTGTTTTATTGTCCAAGAGATCTAGACGGCTTGTCACTTTTGATTTTAGTCATCATTAATAAATGAGCTTAGCATAAAAAATTAATTAGTTTAGTTGGGTTGTCATGGATTAATTGGATTGCTTCTAGTTTTATGATTGGAGCATTCTAGCTTCTTCCTTTTTTCCTCTTTAAAAAGATAGAAATGGAAAAGGTTTAGAATATCATTCAACTATTGAAAATAGTATAAAATTTGTCTTCCGATGAGCTTATAAATATCTTCGATGACCACCTTTAGGTTTCATATTGCCCTTTATTTTTAATACCTCTAAGTGAATTTATCAATGATGTGGCGGTTAATGGTCATTATTAATTGTCTTTTAAACAAGGAAAAAAGGATAAATATACCCTTTTTGGTTTGCGGATATTTTCCATCATACTCTAGGGACATTGGTGTTCTTATCGTTCAAAAACTAGAACATATATTACCCTTTATACTAACGGACATACACGTGTCATAATCTTATCCATCGACACGATATTGAATTGATGGATAAGATTATGCCATGTGTCCCTATTTAGTCTTCCGTTAGATTGAAGAGCGTATACACTCTAGTTTTTGGACAACAGTGACACCAATGTCTCTAAAGTATAACTAAAGATATTTCTATACAATTTACGATAGTTCGGAGTATACTTATTTTTTTCCTTTATATAATACATTGATGTTGGCAAAATTGATCATAAAAAGATTAATTTCACTTTCTTTTTCTTTTTTTTTGATAATTTGAGAGACTAAAAATGGATGGATAGAGTTGGAGCTTACTCTTAGTGACATTATTGTTCTATTTCTCCCATCTACATCCCCATGGAGTAAACATTTTTGCAAATTTAAAAAGTCTTAAGGCCCGTTTGGATGGGCTTAATAAAAGCAGCTTTAAAAAAGTACTTTTGAAAGTGATGAAACTTATTTTTAAAATAAGCAGTTATGCGTTTGGATAAAAGTGCTGAAGTTGTTATGCCAAACGTGAAAAGGGAAAAATGGAAGAAAGAGATGTTAGGGTTATATGAGTAATTTGGAGATTGTATAAAAATATTAAGGGTAAAAAGATAAAAATGTGGTCAACTTAAAATAGCTTATAAGCTAAAAAAAAAACACCCCTACCCCAGCTTTTAACTTTTGGCTTAAAATAAGTTTTTTTAACTTAAAATAAGTTATTTTGAGTATTGCCAAACAGTTAAATAAGTCAAAAATCAGCTTTTAAGTCAGTTTGACCAGCTTTTAAGCTGAGCCAAACAGGCTCTTATCCTAAAAATAGAAGAGAAAATAAGTCAAATGGTAAAGTGATCCAATTGATTTTCTTTTTGACCAAACAATGCCAAAAGGAAAGGAAATTGTTGTTATTTGAATATCTAATGTACACAATTAAGAAAAGACATTCTAAAATGGTGAAAGAATAAGTGGAATGAGGAGAGGAATGGAGACCTCTTTCTAGAGTGACAATCCTATCTAACCAAAAAAGGAAAGTCAATTCCCATCTTCAACTTGTGCATGATTGATCCTTATTATAAAAATAATATTCATATATAATGCTTGCTTCGTTTAAAAAATAATGACCTCATTTCTTTTTTAATTTGTTTCAAAAAAAGTGATCTCTTTTCTTTTTTTTGTAACATTTTAATTTCAGGTATCCACGTGACATGTTCAACACCACAAGATTAAAGGATAATTTTATACATTTGACATAACTTTAATTTAGAGCCACAAAATTCAAAAATCTTTTTTTTACTTTCTTAAACTCGTGTCAAGTTAAACCAGATTACTTTTTTGAAACGAAGAGAAGATTGATTAAACAATTGTATATAGACCACCTAAAATAAGTATTTATTATTTGATTCATATCCTGATATTAAAAGTCTATGACAAAGAGCAATACAGAAAATGACCATTTTATAAATGAAAAACAACAATACTAAGATCAGCTAGAACAAATGATCACCAAAAAGAATTACTGAATAATTTAGGAAAATAGATATTATTGTTATGAATGATCCATTACTGAATAAATGAGTATATCTCTTTTAATGGAATTCGATTCTCTTTCGAAAATAATTTTTTCATATGTATTAAAATTTTGAAAATTTTCTAAAAGACCAACATTTCAAATCTAATACGTTATTATATTCAGATATATTTCTCTTTTTAACCAATCAAATATATAATAAGAAAAATTTTTGAACTTGGTATTGTATTATTGAAACTTAGAGCAATTTTATCATCCATTAATTTTTTGACACCATGGTCTTGTCTTTATTAAATCATTTTATATTTACTCTTTCCATTAAAAGGAATTTGGGCAATTTCGTATGGTTGAATTACACAAATTTTGTTTTCGTCTGGAAATCCAATATATGCCGTCATGATTATGGTTGTCTTACGTATGATACATTTTATTTATTTCTTACCCTACAACAAAAATATGATTATTAGCAGTAATTAATTTTTAATTATCGTTAAATATATATGTTTAGTGGTAATCAACACTCTTTGTATATGTCCCTAAAGTCTTTAACGACATTGATTTTAATAACACTTAATTAATACTGGTAAAGACTTTAGCACTCTTTATTAATGTCAATGTTTAATGCCGCTAAAAGTTATTTCTGTTATAGTGTTATCAATGTTGTCAAAAATAATTCAAGAAACGATTTGCAAATAGACATATAATATCACAAAAAAAAGAATGAAATACATGAGAATTTTTCTGGGGATTAATATAAAATCATTTACATTAACTAAATACATGAAATAAGTACAGATAAAATCATTCAAAATAGATTAAAGCCTGAGTGATTGACTAATTTATGCTATGGAGACGACCAATAAAACTTAGCATAACATGAATTTTTGAAACTACAAGATATTGAGCATACGATATCCATATAATACATATGTGTAAGATTATTTAAACGAAATTTCATGGAATAAAAAGGGTTATCAGCATGCATACCTTAAGGGTACATTAATATTTTTTTTAACCAAAGAGGTAAAATCGCTATTGGCGTCGTTAAATTTAAAATTGCTAATCCACGAGCAATTTTCTGCATTTTTCATTTTTTAAAGAATATCGCTACAGATGTCGCGATTTTGGCCAAAAAAGTTTTATGTTTTTTATAAAATCGCTTCCTTGGCAACAATTTTGGTAAAAATAAAAATAACAAAAAAATATCTTTAAAATGTAAAAAAGTCGCTACCTTAACAGCGAATTTAGTGATTTTTTTATTTCTTTTATAAAACAATGCACATAGTACTACTAATCAACTCCTCCTCACCTCTTCCTATTTATGGTGATTAAAAAAACCCACCAAAAGTACTGCCAATGCAATCAATATTTTGTTATTTTTTAAAAAAAAATCACCGCTTTATGAAAAAGAAAAAATTGTTTTCACCAAAATAGCGATTTTTTTACTTTTTAAAGATACTTTTTTGGCCAAAATCGCTATAGGTGCAGCGACATTCTTCAACAAAAAATGAAAAACATTTTGGAGAAAATGGCTCGTGAGTCAAAAAATTTTAATGGCGTGAAAATAAAATCGCTATGCTAGTAGCGATTTTGTCCCTCTGGTTAAAAGAAAAAATTATTATGCCCTTTTAAAATTTTTATCAATTTTTTTAACCCTTTAGACTTCGAACTCATGTTCATTGATAGTGATTCAGTTATTCATCCTGTCACCAAAATTCATTGAAGCATGTCCACACATATGAACACATCAAACTTTCATGGATCACATTGTTGACAATTTTTTTCTTGAGTCAAATGAGTGGTGTGGGTAAAGTATATGTTGCTTAGAATCAAGTGTAATGTCGTTAGTGTCGTGAGTTATTATTTTTTAAAAGTTCGACCAACATAGCTAAGAATCCTCAACTCTCCAAATTTTGATAGCTTCTCTCTAAGAACATAATCAGAAGGAATCACGATTCAAATTTGATTGGACCTTATGTACACAACTTATTAGCTTCAAATTTGATTAGATCTCTAATGTAACTCAACTTATTAGCTTAAATTTTTTTTAGCGGTTATGTAACCCAAGTGACTTTCCACCGGATATTTATTGTTACACCTATTGCACACAAACCTCAAATCTTAATCTTTTTTCCACATTGCTATACTTTAATGAAATCAAATAAAAACTAAGATTAACTTAAATAATTTTGACATCAGAATTCTGACTCTACTATGTTATTTTTAAGGGTGAATTAAAGTGGTAATAAAACTTGGACCATGTTCTTTTTATTTGTCTTTTTTTTATTATAGACTAGTTTCCAAGTATTAAGCAGTTAGCAATTATACATTTTTTATTTTTTTTAATATAAAATCTACTCTTCTAGTTTTTTAAGATGTAGAATTGTTAATATATTTAAAATTATTTTTGATATATAAAATTATTATTTTTTCTTAATTAAAAAGGTTAGTTTTCTATAAATAGTATTCTATAAGTTTTAATCTTTTGCCCAATTTTGATTTGACATGAAACTTAAAAGGTAAATAAGGATTTTCAAATCTTGTGGTCTTAAGCTAAATTATATATATATATATA